GAGGGGTGGAGGCACAAGGCAAAAAGGCAGGAGATTGTGATTTGTTGGGCAAGAAAGCGGTTTGGGTGGGTGGGGCCAGTCACCCTCTCCCAGCCCAACTCACCTCACAGGGTTGTTGTTGTAGGGAAAATAGGAGGAGGAAGGAGTATTAGGTATGTTCACCACCTTCAGTTATTTATAAAAATAATAAAGGCAGGATAAAAAAAAATCTAAAAAAATACTGTAGCCAAATTCTGCCATATAAGGAACCATTCCTAATCAGGCCCAGTATAAGATTTGTTGTATTATCCAGCTCCTTAACTGGTAAAAATTGAATAGCTAAATCACAGGGTGGCAATTACTGGATTTCTCTGAGGTACAGTTTGTTTAAACGTGACATATTTATTTGCACAGCAAATATGAAAATGAGAATTGGCAGTTAGTATTTTTTTTTTCATCTTTATAAAATGCTCAGCAGATTGATAATTCCAATTTTAGGACTATTGTCTACATAAGGGAAGTTTGCAAGATTGACTGTCAGATTTTACTACAAAGAAAACAGTTGTGGCAACTTAGCTCCTTGAATGTGAAATAGAGACCTTGGCTTTATAGGCCAGCTTATATGCTTTAGAAATGTGAAGTTACACAAGTCTAAGAGACCTCCTCTTGATCCCTGCGACCAGCAATGACAAATATGACCATACCATCTTGAAGTTGTTTGTGGATATGTCGTGGGTGAGTGGGGGGACAGAGCAAGTGAATATATCTTTTATTAAACCATCATTTATTTATTAAACATACCAAAAGCAAGCTTATGAGATACACATAGCTGCTTTTTAGGCATGCTGGGGTTATAAAATACAAATTGTAACCCAAGCACCTTGCACAGCTGATCTAAGTCAAAAGAAAATGTTTCTTATTCTGCTGAAACATTTGTTATGAGCCTACCTGACGTTTTGGAGAATTTGCTGTGCTGGGATTGATATTCCGCAATGCCTAAGAGTAAAAGAAATAAGATGGATAAACATTACTTTTTTGCGTCTTATGATTGGGATGGGTACGCTGACTCGACATACTCAATACTTTCTACACGTTCTGAAGAGGCGAGTTCCTAAGAGAGCCACAGATGACAATGGATAAGGCAATGAAGAGATGACAAAAGGGTGCTGCATAATGGAACAAGACGCTTAGGAGTGCTTACAGAGCATATGGACACATTTTGCTTAAACATACAGGGGACAAAAAGAAGGGGACATCGACTTGTGGACACTGCCTTGCCTGAAGTTAGTCACCTTCTTGAGGAGAAGTTATTGAAGAAAAGAAATCCAAAATTAGAAGCCTTTTCTAAAAGCATGCTGGCCTGGCGGCATTTGAATTTGTTTGAGTATTAATAGCAAAGCAGTTATAGGCAAAGTTCAGAAATATCAGCTTAGAAAGCTGTTATTTTTAACTTGTCCAGAGGCAACTCATGATAATTAAAAAAAAAAAAATTAAAAGAGATATATCCCACAATGATCCAGTTTACATGGAGTATTATTCCTTTAAATATTTCTTCAGTACAGAAGGCAGTTAGACTCCAGAACAAGGGCAGAAAAAGCAAGGAACGATGAAGGCAAAAGCCTGAAGAAGTGATCTCCAAGAATATGGAAATACTGCCTGATGCAAGAACCACCACCCAAACAGCAAGGAAAAAGAGGTTTTAAAAAGATTCTCCGAAAGAGGTTAGGAAATCTGCAATACTCCACAACCTTCACAAAACATGATGCAAAGCACTGGAACAAGGAGCTAATCAATCATTAGCAAAAGATCTAGGACAGTAAGCAATGACTGAGAGCAAAAGTTTTAGAAAATAAGCTTCATTGTCTCTTTGGGTTCATGCCTCCAGGGTTATAAAAAAAAGCAAAAGCAGCAAATCAGCTTACATTTAAACGTTCACGAAAATATTTTTGGTTTAAAAGAACTAAATTTAAACTGAAGTAAAAGACCTCGGTTAATCCATTTGAAAGTTATGTTCCTGAGAATTACTTGCAACAACATAAACATTACCTAACATGGATGAATTTTCCCTTTCATTTTCTCTCTTATGAAGCACACAGAGAAGCTGTTCATAATGAGCTGTGTAATTAGCACATTCACATGCATTCTGCAAGAATCCACATCCACAGAAGAGGGCTTAGTAAAGTACTATGATGATAAGTTTCCTGAAATTCATTACTTTATGGAATTCACTTCCACAAGATCTGTTGACAGAAACAGGCTTAGATGCTTTTTAAAAGGTTTAGGAATATTCAGAGCATAGGTTCTTCAATAACTTTTAAATTATGATACCTAAAGAGATAAGTATTTATATATTTAAGTTCTAGATGCTTGAGACAGGTAACAGGGCCAATATCCTTAGGCCTTGCTTGTCAACTTCCAAAAGCCCCTGGTGACCGCTAACGGAAATGGAACAATGCACTATGTCCTTAAAAAACAAGGAAGAGCTTTGTTTTTACAGGAAGGCTGAAGTTTAAATACTCTTCACAAACACAGCAAGACCAGATCCAATTCACACATGCCATCCATCATGAAAGCTGGAAAATTCAGTCAGATTAGCTCTGACCATGCAGAGCATTAATAAAGTTGCAGAGCTACTCAGCAAGTTGTCCATGTAGCAGAGTTATCAGCAATGAAAAGAGCACCATGCCAGAAACAGCCCAGCACCACAAACTGTCACGTACCCCAAAGAAATATTCTGAGGAGATCACAAAGTCTCATTTGTTGCTTGCCTGGGCAAGTTATATAAGGAGGAAAACATGAATGCTTATTTGCCACTTCCTCTATCTACTGATGCTTGCTAGAATTACACGTTGAAAAGCACAATGCGGCTCATGCATATGCAACAGGTATTGTATTATAGTGGAAGTATGTTTCTAACCTGTGGCCTCACCTGCCGAAGCAGTTCTTGATGTTTCAGTCGCAACCTTTCTTTTTCCATCTGCAATTGCTGCAGTCTTATCTGTTGCTGTTGGTTGGAGTTGCCACCTCCCAGGACTCCGCCAGGAGGGCTTTGGGGGGCTAATGGTGGTGGCGGCTGTTTCACTGGAGCACTTTGGCTGATTCTCTGGCTCATAGCTGTAAAGGCAAACAACAGAGCAGGCATTTTAAAGCATTCTTATCCCAAAGATCCAAAGGTTTGGAATATACATTCCTTAATGAATTTAATATAGGGAGAATTAGGGCCAAGATATCATAGTTTCCTCAGGTTAAGAAACAGACATTGAAAATTGAAGAAGTCAGAAAATAAATAGAACAAGAGTTCCCGTTTGCATGTATCAGCATATCTTGTTTGTTTGTTTTTTAAACTCTTAATGCTAACATGTCATGGGAAAAGGCAAATCTGTCCTGTCTTTGTTTGGGGTTCACCAACACACATCAGAAATTTTAACTTGAAGACATAATAGTGTTAAAAATATCACATGGTGCCTAGGAAGTTCTAGAAGAGTAGGGGAAGCAAAGTTGTCTTGTTTATTCTTCTAATAAAGATCATCCAGGAGGCAACAGGAGATTATGTTGTTCTTGAGAAGGCAAAGGCAAATTCTTCCAAAGGATTAGAAGGAAGTTCTTTTTGGTCCTCCCATCTTACCTGAAGTTAACCCTCTCCTGTCAGCTCAACTGTTCTGGAGGATTTTAACGTAACATAATGTAACATGGTCTGTCTGTTTGTCTGTCTGTCTGTCTCTCTGTACAGATATAGATCAGTCTAATAAGAGGCAGAGAGTTCCAGAATAATCATAGGCCATGCACTGCTTGCAATTTCTGATGTACAGGAAATTTCAAAGATACTGCCAATACTGCACAAGGATAAATCATGGAGAAGGTTTAAAATCGAAATCAGAAATATCAATATGTATGTACAAAGTTTAGTTTTATAGCAAAAGGAAGTTCTCAGAATATGGCCATAACGTACACAGACATTATGTGATGAATATTTAGTGATGTCCTTATTATTGAGACCAACTTCCAATATACTTTCAAGCAGAACAAAATGGCTTAATGAAAGGGAGAAACAAACTGAATTCAAAACAAAGACTGGGGAGAAAAAAACAACAACAGGACAGAGACTCCATAAACTTGGTTTATATCCAGCATTCTCAAAGTCTGTTTAAATTATCCGAGCAGTTGGGCAATAAGTCTGCTATTCCAATTACATGTTTTAGCCAACTGGGTTGCTCCTAGGTCATAGAAATAAAATACATTTAAGATAAATATAGGCTCATGTAGAAAATGTGCCAGCTTCCATTTTGGTTGTAAACAGACAACCATCAGCCAGTCCTATTGGGCTGCAAATCAAAATGAGGCTTTTTTATAGGCATGTGATAATAAGAACCAAACACTTTCAGTCCTTCAACAGATTCTAAGCCAGGTCTGATGTACATTTATAAGCACAGTTTCACTAATAACTTCTCTGATAAAGAGAAATAAAGGCACAGGGTAGCACAAAAGTGTTACTCAGCTTCTGCATTCTATCTGTACAATAGGAGACTTCAAGGACTGTTTTGCCTTTAATAGAAAAGGCAAATAAATAAATAAATAAATAAATAAATAAATAAATAAATAAATAAATTAAAAGGCATGGAAGAAACACTTTTAAAAAAAGGTTGACAAATATTTCTGGGCAGTGAGCCTGAACTCTGTAGCTTTCAACCTGTGAGTGAAATAGAAAAATAACATTAAGGGCTTTTTTTGTATAATAAAAAATTATTTTAAAGAGAAAGCATTATTAACTGAACAGACAATCCAGTGAATAATTCTACTGGGGAAGGAAGGAGGGGATATGAAACTAGAAAATCCATACAAATTAAATCTCAACTGCTCAAGGTTTTTTTGTATACCTTGAATGCCACTTTAGAGACTCAAAACATAAATGCTTTTTAAATGGTGCCTAAATTGAGGAAAGGGAAAAAATAAATATGTAGTCCTTTATCTGCTAGAACTTGGATTTATCTGTTTCCTGTTCTTTCTTTTCATGGGTATCAGAGAAGTATTTAAATATGGGGTTCTACACCCACACAGGGCAAGTAGCAAAGACCTCACAGGCAGACAAGAAGAAAACAAGTCTTTGTTTTACAGAGGAAAGAGGGGATTTAGGAGGAAAAGGGATTTGGAAGAAGTGAAGGGAAAATGTTAGTAATACACTGTTTACCTATCTTAGTTTCATGAAACCACCATACCTTTTAACAAGGATAATTTTAGGAAAGAATGTTGTCTAGTCAGTTTCTTACTGCTCTAATGCAGTACATATCCTGTTTCGAACTTTCTGAAATTATCAAAATCCAAGCTATGACACATGCCCCACTCATTCTATCTAAAAGGCAACAGTATTTCTGTTTTTCAAAAATAATTCTGAAGACCCTGGAAGCTATTAACCTCTCAGTGACACAAAGTACCAAATCATAAACAAGAATATCCAAGTGTAGCACAAACATGTTTCTTTAGAACAAAACCCAACTATATTCAAAGGGCTGTACACTCCAGTAGTTGTACATAGGATTTAATGCCAGGTCTGTTAAACAAAGAACTGAGAAGTATCTTTACTTGGACATTCATATTTTATACTTTGCCAGGTATGGGCAGGCTAGAAAGGCATGAGTCAAGGCCCAATAGAAAAATGGAAGACTATGCTGGTTTAGATAGCCAATGAGATCATATGATCTAAAGTCTTCTCCAGGATTCCCACATCCATATAGATGGAGGGATACTGTTTTCAATACATTTTCAGAAGCATTTATGACCATACACACCTACAGTAATGGGAAACCAAGGAATTTCTTCATGTACGCCATTTGATATGATTATAATGCAGAGCAAATGTAGGCAGATCCTGGGAATTTTTGCTTCTATATCATAAGACTTTCTCTATTTGTGTAAGTCAGTTAAAAACTGATTCCCTTGTATTCTTCACTGAGAAGGCTTAATATAATTTATCACTAAGCTGTTTGATTTTGCAGCATCAGCACTGGACACCAGTTTAAATGGGCACTTTATAACTTGTGTTGTTATGTAAGCATATCAGAACTTTGTACACAACTCAAGAATGATTAAAACAGACTTTAATTCTTCTGCACAGAATGGATTATACAACTGGCCAAAGAGTGGTTGTTTGCCAAAAAAGCCATGTTATTCCCATAATTTTCATATAAATGAAGGAAACTCTTCTCCTCAAACTGTATCCAACTATTGATTTCTTGTTAAAAGGTATAGTATAACGTATTTTATAACCTTGTGTTCTAGTTCTGCATATATACCATAGATCAAGTTGGTGAACCAGTAAGGAAATGTTACTAGTTCTGCATATATACCATAGATCAAGTTGGATCACTAAGATGATTTTCACTTATTTGCAATAAAATTATATCTTTATCAGTAATTATGTGTTTATTCCATTTTTTAAACATCTAATTTCTGTACCTACAATTGTGTCAGATTGCACATTTTTAAAAATCTGCAAACTATTCTTTGGATTCTGAAATTTTACTAGGTATGCTCACAATTTCAGAATCTCCATACCATTAAGGCTAAGAACTCACTTTTTACGTTACTTGAAAAATAAATCCTGTACAAGACACTAACATGTCTTATTACTGTTACTAACCTGCACAGAATTTAAATATATTATTCACAAATTATAAAATGATTCAAACAAGTTATAAAGTATAAGTAAAATGACATCTTTTAAAAAATTCTCATATTCTTAAAATGTAAAAACTTTTCAGGAATATATTTTTAAATAAAAATATAGAGGACAAATACACTTCTAATTATGCATTCAATTCTTGATATGGGAGACAAGTGTAAACTTGTTTTGTGGTTCAGATGTTATAGCAAAGTATGCTACTGAGTAACCACTGACTGAAAAAAGTGAAGATGTGAGCCCAAGATCTTTATCTAGTTCTCTAAGCCATAATTTACAGAAAATAACAAATAAGGACAGCTCATGTCATTTTGCTGTCTGATGCAAAGACGACAGAACCCCATCTATTCCTTCTCTGTTCTACAGAGATGCTGAGTAGACTGGGATTAGAACTGTAGTACAACACTGGCGATGGGAAAGAATCTTCCCTGCATCCCCAGAGAGAAATGAGCTAGTTTAGAAAGAGCTATAGTTCATCTTCTGTTCTCAAAACTATCAACAATATTTTAGAAAAGTTCTACAAATCTGAAATGTAGCTTTGAAAATATGAGGATTGTTAGCAAACCCAGACACTTATTTACTTGAGAATAAGCCCTTTATATATTGCTTGCCATTTCGTTTTTGTTTGGATAATGTTTTGAAAAAAGTTTGATCAAGTCTACATAGACTAATACCCTAGTCACTGTCTCTATGAAGACAGTATCAGCAAGATTACTTTGTCAAGCACTATCCCAGGAATAACCAATCTTTTTTTTTTTTTTGCTCCCAAGGACTCACTGGATGCCAGGTTAGGTCTTCAGGAACAGGCATATGCAACTGAGAACTTGTATGCACACTCCTGCATATTTTGCTCACCAAAACATACACTACATTGCTTGCTACCACCTACTTGCCTTCTTCTCTATTTCTTGCTACTCTGGCTACTTCCACTTACTCCCCCTCAAACACAGCAATGCCTTTACCTCTTTACTACTGCCATGCTACACAGGAAACTCTGGACAAATAATTTGCTTGAAATTCTCTATATGCCTTTCAAGAGCCATAGTTGGGTCAATTGGAAACTTTCCCATAAAAGCTGAACTGACTGGAAAATGCAAGCAATGTGCTGTATTTCATTACCAATACTTGAGTTCTGTAAGAACAATATAAGGAAATACAGATGTGTCTTTATTTCATTAACTGGCAAGGAAGAAATACTCCATGATGGCCAAGACTCAATGCATTTGATTTCCAGTATGCTTGAACAATGGGATATATATTATAGCTGCTTATTTTGATTAAATTCTGAATCTTGGGCTATAATAGACGGTTTCTTCAGTATAGGTCCTGGTCCTTTAATTCTGTTTACTGTAACATTTAGCCTCTTTGGTTCTTAATAGAAGGGTTCACCTGGGATTATTTTCAGTAAATTACTAAATGTAAATCAATAAATGTAAATTAT